ACAACACAAATTGCAGAAAACCTACCAACTCATGGAAATTGAACAACATAAAATTGCACCATTCCTGGGTCAAGGAAGAAATAAAGAAATTAAAAACTTCCTAGAATTCATGAAAATGAAGACACAATGTACCCAAACTTATGGGACACCTTGAAAGCAGTACTAAGAGGAAAGTTCATAGCTCTAAGTGCTCACATGAAGAAACTAGTGAATAGCCACACTAGAGAGTTGACATCACAGCTCAACGCTCTAGAACAAAGGGAAGCAAATTCACCCCAGAGGAGTAGAGTAGACACCAGGAAATAATCAAACTGAAGGCAGAAATCAATAAAGTCAAAACAAAGAAAACAATTCAAAGAATCAATGTAACAAAGAGTTGCTCCTTCGAGAAAATCAAAGATAGACAAACCTTTATCCAAACTAAACAAAAGGCAGAGAGAACATGCAAATTAACAAAATCAGAAATGAAAAGGGGGACATAACAACAGACACTGAGGAAATCCAGAGAATCTTCAGATCATACTTTGAAAACCTGTACTCCACAAAATTGGAGAATTTAAAGGAAATGGACATTTTTCTGGACAGATATCACTTATCAAAATTGAATCAAGAACAGATAAGCAACTTAAACAGACCTATAACCTATAAGGAAATAGAAGCAGTCATCAAAAGTCTCCCAACCAAAATAAGCCCAGGGCCAGATGACTTCACTGGAGAATTCTACCAGAAATTCAAACAAGAGCTAATACCAATCCTCCTCAAATTGTCCCACACAATAGAAGCAGAAGGTTCATTGCCAAACTCTTTTTATGAGGCTACAATTACCTTAGTACCCAAGCCACACAAAGACACAACTAAGAAAGAGAACTACAGACCAGTATCCCTCATGAACATAGATTCAAAAATACTCAATAAAATACTGGCAAACCGAATCCAAGAACACATCAGAAAAGTCATCCACCATGATCAAGTAGACTTCATCCCTGGGATGCAAGTTTGGTTCAACATTCAAAAATCCATCAATGTAATCCACCATATAAACCAACTGAAGAAGAAAAACCACATGATCATCTCACTAGATGCTGAAAAAAACCTTTGACAAAATCCAACATCCCTTCATGATAAAGGTCTTGGAGAGATCAGGAATAACAGGAACATACCTGAACATAATAAAAACAATATCCAGTAAGCCAACAGCCAACATCAAACTAAATGGAAATTCAAAGCTATTCCTAAAATCAGGAACAAAACAATGCTGTCCACTCTCTCCATATCTCTTTAATATTGTCCTTGAAGTTCTAGCTAGAGCAATAAGACGACAAAAGGAGATCAAGGAGATACAAATTGGAAAGGAAGAAGTCAAGCTTTCACTGTTTGCATATGATATGATAGTCTACATAAGTGAACTGAAAAACTCTACCAGGGAACTACTACAGTTGATAAAAACCTTTAGCAAAGTGGCAGGATACAAGATTAACTCAAAAAAAAAAATCAGTAGCCCTACTATATATAGATGATAAATGTGCTGAGAAAGAAATCAGAGAAACACCACCCTTTACAATTGCCACAAACAACATAAAATACCTTGGGGTAATGCTAACCAAAAAAGTAAAAAACCTGTATCATAAGAATTTTGAGTCTTGGGGAGGGAGAAGGGAACTGGGATTGTCATGTAATTCAATCATGTTTGTAACTCAAATAAAAAAAAATTCCTTTATATAAAAAAAGAATTTTGAGTCTTTAAAGAAAGAAATTAAAGAAGATACCAGAAAATGGAAGGATCTCCCATGTTCTTGCATAGGTAGGATCAAAACAGTAAAAATGACAATCTTGCCAAAAGCAATCTACAAATTCAATGCAATCCCCATCAAAATCCCAGCCCAATTCTTCACAGACCTTGACAAAACAATTCTCAACTTCATATAGAAAAACAAAAGACCCAGGATAGCCAAAACAACCCTTTACAATAAAAGAACTTCCAGAGGCATCACCAACCCTGATTTCAAGCTCTATTATAGAGCTGTAGTCCTGAAAACAGCTTGGAATTGGCACAAAAATAGACAGGTAGACCAATGGAATCTAGTTGAAAATCCTGGCATTAACCTGCACACCTATGAACACCTGATTTTTGACAAAAGCAACTAAAGCTATACAATGGAATAAAGAAGGCATCTTCAACAAATGGTGCTGGCATAACTGGATGCTAGCCTGTAGAAGGCTTTGGACAGATCCATGTCTATTGCCATGCACAATACTTAAGTCCAAATGTATCAAAGACCTCAACATAAATCCAGCCACACTGAACCTATTAAAAGAGAAAGTAGGAAATACCCTTGAACGAATTGGTACAGGAGACTGCTTCCTAAACCAGTAGCACAGACACTGATATCAACAATTGATAAATGGGACTTCCTGAAACTGAGAAGCTTCTGTAAGGCAAAGGACACAGTCAACAAGACAAAACGACAGCCCACGGATTGGGAAAAGATATTCACCAACCCCACATCTAACAGAGGGCTGATCTCCAAAACTTACAAAGAACTCAAGAAGCTAGTCTCCAAAACACCAAACAATCCAATTAAAAAGTGGGATACAGAACTCAATAGACAATTCTCAATAGAGGAATCTAAAATTCCTGAAAGACACAAAAGAAAGTGTTCAACATCCCTATCCATCAAGGAAATGCAAATCAAAACAACTCTGAGATACCATCTTATACCTGTCAAAATGGCTAAAATAACAAACACCAATGGCAGCTTATGCTGGAAAGGATGTGGAGAAAGGGGAACACTACTCCACTGTTGGTGAGAGTGCCAACTAGTACAGGCACTTTGGAAATCAGTATGGAGATTCCTCAGGAAAATGGGAATCAGTCTACCACAAGGTCCAGCAATTCCATTCTTAGGCATATATCCAATAGAAACACATCCATTTTACAAGGACATCTGTTCAACTATGTTCATAGCAGCATTATTTGTAATAAGTAGCCAGAACTTGGAAACAACCTAGATGCTCCTCAACTAAAGAATGGATAGAGAAAATGTTGTACATTTACACAATGGAGTACTACTCAGTGGAAAAAAACAAAAAAAACAATGGAATCTTGAACTTTGCAGGCAAATGGATGGACGTAGAATAAACCATTCTGGTAACCCAGGCACAAAAAGACAAACTCATATATGGATTTTAGACATAGAGTAAAGGATTACCAGCCTACAATGCACACTGCCAGAGAAGCTAGTAAACAAAAAGGACCCTAAGAGAGACATACATGGTCTCCTGGAGAAGGGAAAAGGGACAAGATCTCCTGAGCAAATTGGGAGCATGGGCGGAGGGGAGAGGGAATTAGGATAATGAGAATGAGGAAGAGGAGGGGTGAGGGAGGTTGAGTTGGGGAAGAACAGAAGAGAGCATGATAATAGATATATAATAGAGGGAGACATTATAGGTTTAAAGAGATCAGGTACTACGGAAATGTCTGGAGAGCTACAAAGATGACACCAACTAACAATCTAAGCAACAAAGGAGAGGCTACCTTAAATGCCCTCCCCTGATAATGAGATTGATGACTGTCTCATATGCTATTATAGCCTTCATCCAGCAGCTGGTGGAAGTAGAAGCAGATACCCACAGGTAAACCTTGAACTGAACTGGATTCCAGTTGCAGAGAGGGTGGACGGATGAGCATAGGGGTCCATACCAGGCTGATGAAACCCACAGAAACAGCTGATCTGAACAATGGGGAGCTCTTGGTCCCCAGACTGATAGCTGGGAAACCAGCCGGGGACTGATCCAGACCCCAGGAACGTGGGTGTCAGTGAGGAGACCTCGGCAATCTATGGGGCCTCCTGTAGTAGATCAGTACTTATCCGTATCATAGGAATGGACTCTTGGAGCCCATCCCACATGGAGGGATACCCCCTGAGCCTAGACACAAGGGGGTTGGCCTAGGCACTATCCCAAAGGATATGGCAGACTTTGAAGACTCCCTAAGGAAGGCCTTACCCTTCTTGGGGAGCAGAAAGGGTATGGGATAGGTAGGGTGTAAGCTGGGGTGGGGGAGGGGGAAGAGGGTCCTGGGATTAACATGTAAAATAATCCTCTTTCTAATTAAAATGAAAAAAAGAAAATAAATATAGAGAAAACGTAATCATAAAAAAACCAAAATATACAACAAACAAGAGAGAAAGAGAAAGGAAGAAAGAAAGAAAAGAGTAGCAAAGCTTTACTAAGGCTCTACTGTCCTCTCAATGTAGAGATCAAGCTGGGACCAAGATAAAGACAGGCAGTACAGCAAGAGCCCACAGCAGTGGGGGTGGGGAGTGGGGAGGTGTTGCCTCTTCTGGAGGAACATGACAGGGAATTCAGAGAATAAGAAGTTCTGTGATTCTTTAAGTGGGTACACTTACCTTAAAAGTAAATCCCATGAAAAACCTGGATTAAATTTGATCAGTCTTGGTCAAACTAGATAATTTAAGCAAGAATTTCAAAAGGACTAATGAACTAAAAGACGAGTTATAATGAATATTTTTATTCAAGACAAAAACAAACGGTCCCAGCAAAACAACAAAAAACCAAAACAACACAAAACTGTCTCCATCACTTGCAGTATCGGTCAGCTTTCAATTTGGCTCTCCTGTTTAAGACATAAAGAACGGAACAATGTAAAACATATCATATAGAGTCAATTGCTACTAAGTAGAAAATTTATGCTTGGAAATTCTTCTATTTTCATTACTGTATTAAACATTTATTTTAAAAGATTTTTATTAAAGCTTTACCCATGTAAAATGGATTCTAGTCTTAGGAAACTTATTTTGTAGTATTTAACAGAGGTGGCTTAAGGGCTTTTTCAGGTCACAAGAGAAACATTAGTCACTCATCGGCGTAAGCCTGCCTTAAGATTCTACAGGGTGGCAATGGTGAATTTTTTTTTTAAACTGGTTTTAAAGTTACTAAACAAATTGCTTATTCTATTTTAGAGTTCACAGTCCGACTATATTTTATGTCCTTTTCTGACTTCTCAGAACTACACACATAATGATTTTTCCAGTTTGAAAAGAACTCTCCCATTAACTGATTTCATCTTTACCAAACACTTAACAGGAAGTAAGCAATTAAGTATTATTTTATCAGATAATGGGAAGGCTTAAGAGTGATTTACAACAGAAGGCTTTATGACTAACAGGAGATTATCAGTGTATTCCTATTCAGTTTGGCACTTTAAGCCCGCAGCTAACTTTACTGCCTGCTTTTCCAGGTAGTAACTGTAGGTTGTTACTTATTTAAATAAAAGAAAATTGGAACAAATATCAATAATGTTATTGTAAATATCTTGCACACTGCTGAATCTAACTTTACTAAAATAGGTCAATTTCCCTCACTGAACTTTTAGTCTGGATACAAATTCATACATTTTTATCTTAGTTTTAGGAACCTCTACTATTCAAACAGAACACATAGAATCTTGGTATTACTCATGCAATTTTCTAGCTCTGTTCCTATTCTTAAGGGAAGATAATGGGAAGCAAATTTGGTAACTTCTTTTTTTGTTTATTTTTTTTTCAGATTTTTTTTTTTATTTGAAATAGAAACAAGATTGTTTTACATGACAATCCCAGTTCACTTTTCCCTTCCTTCCTCCCCTACCACCCACCCCACCCCCAATTTGGTAACTTCTACACCATGGAAACGACCTGGTGGCTGCATGGTAACTACTACATCATGGAAACTGGCTTGGTGGTTGCATGATAATTACTACACTGGTGGTTCAGTAAATTTATGAAATAGTTTCAAACAAACCTGAAAATCTAAAAGAATTTAAATATTTATATTCTGGTTATAATTTATAAATTTGTTTTTAGCATACTTTCCCCAGACTTAAGTCTTCTTTAGGTAATATTACTATATAAATTAGAGAAGAAGGCAAAAATCCTAAAACAATAGTAATATAAAAATACACTAGTTTTGAAAACTGCTATAATTATGCAAGTATACAATTACCTGTCCAGAAGTGTCTCATGCAAAAATCCATCTTTCCGAGCTTTTTTAAGAATTTTACTATCTTCTTTGCTTATTTTGAGTTTGTGGTCTTGGAAGCTCTGAAATTTCTTTCTGTGAAGAAAGATTTGTCATTGAAAAAACAAATTTCAAACTTTTATTGTGTTTCCTTACCAAATTCCAAATACTATTAAAAGTTTTCCCCACTGATTTATTTAACGAACATAATTGTATTTCTACAAAAATTGACATTTTCTATAAAAATTGAGTTTTCATCTCACAAAGATGATTTCTTATGATCCATCAAGAGGGCTATCATCTGGGTAGCTCTGCCAAGCCTCCTTCTAAGGATGTTGGCTGGTTGCAGTCCTCATGTCTGGAACATGAATGGCCCCTGGGTGGTGTGATAGCAATTCTATTAAAGAAAGGGAGAGCTGACTAACCCAAGTGTCTTTAGCTTTAAGCTCTCAACTCATCACTGTGTCCTTGAGTTCCCATTATTGGCTTTCCGGTCCTTCACAAACTTTGCTATTAGGTGTCCTGAGAAACCCTACTGTCAGAGTGGAGTCTGAAAGGAGAATACATACACATAGTTGATTTCACACTGCTTCACATTTCCTTTGTCTTCTTCTGGGATGTCATCTTTCTTCTTGGTTTCTCTTTCAGCACAGGATCTAATCTAGATATTGATGAGGACCCAACAGGTTACACATGTATCTTCCTCTCCCCACTTGCTAGGCAAGAGCACTCCACGTGATTTTTTATGCAAGCCAAGAAAACAATTAACTTAGCAATAAGATTTAGGAAAAGACAAGCTCAAGACGTGTGATGTGTTTTGATTTCGTATACATTTATCATTTACAGAAATAGCTGAAATTATATGTAAGTTGAAACAAAGCTTCATTAGATTCTACTTAGCCACCTGATGATCCTGGCAGTATAGTGAGAATTTTAATGTGATATATAGGTACCTGTGTAACTTTTACAATTAAGTAAAAGCAAAGAGTAGCACTGAGGAAGTCTGTCAGGAAAAAGGTGGTTTCCCTTTCCAGTTAGTGACTTACATCAAAGTAACACTAACAATTGTTTAATGAGTTTCATGCTTTTCCTTATGTACAGAACATGTGTATATTCACTAAGAGAGCAACATCTGAGGGCCAAAGACCCAAAAGCTCTAAGACGTTTATGTTTACTTAGTGACTACCATCAGGGGTGCTAATGAAGTTGTTGACAAGAATACAGCCTTTCTGTCAGGCAACTTCACAGTAGCTAACAAATCATAAAGGGTAAGGGTTAGGGTTAGCCCTATAATTTTGCTTTTGCAGATTCGGTCATGTCAGTTATAGCATTGTTTCTAAGGACAAAAGCCAGGAAACAATCTACATTTCAATTTATGTGAGACTGGTTGAATAAAGTAAGGGACATCCCTAAAATAGAACACTATGTAGGTGAGGAAGGGGAAGACTTTTAGTATAGATTTACACTGATAGGGATCTCCAAGATACAACAGGAAAGAAAAGCAGGAAAGGAGTTTATATGATATGTTTACATAAGACAATAAAGCAAGCAAGCAAACAAGCAAAGTAAAACCAAATGAAGCAAACGACAGGGGAAAGGATGGGAACCAGGTAAGCAGTGCAGCTGGGAGACACAAGCCTTTGTATGTTTCTACTGTGAACATCCTATCTATCTTAAAAATTAAGTATTAGGAAAACTGTAGAGAAGCTCTGATCAGTAATCTCTCAATTGCATTGTACAAACAAGACATCACGGGATTTATGATAGCTAAGGCACACCTGGATCAGCATAGAAAATGGTGTTACATCTGTAAAGTGACAGTCAGCAGCTGTCCAGATATCACTACTAGCCAGGAGGAGATGTTTACCTTTATCATTTCTTCTTCTCCTGCTGTTTTATTCTTTGCTTCTATATCACCTGCTTCATTACATCTAATAAAACAGCTATTTGAAGCCAATAAAGCCATTTTCCCCTAAATAAAACAAAGAAAAAAGAAAAAAATAAATCAAACTATGAATACTTTGAGAAATCATAGGTCATTATCTAATTTAAAATTTTCTCCCCAATTCTAAAATCAAAAAGAATTTAGAGAAATCCTGGAAAATACAAAAGCATACATAAGGGAAACCAAAATCACCCCAAATCTTGATATTAAAACTTTATCACAATAAACATTTTTAGAGTTTTTCTATTGGGCTGGAGACTATTGCTCAGTGGTAGAGCACTTACATGACCTTTTACTTTCTTCTATCAGGACAGCATTCTACCTATACAAAATTAATTTCTTTCTTTAATTCCTATCTCTGAAGATACAACTCAGTAGTTAAGCTAAAAATTATCTTTAAAGAAAATAAAACTTATGAGTAACATGCAGTAATTTATTGAAATACTGGCATTTCAAGTGAAATTAATTTTTCTCCATAATTAAAAGCATTAAAAAGCTGGCCTTTGGCCTAGAGAGAATTTTGTGTAGCATGACAGACTTTTTTTTTTTTTTTTGAATCAACATGAGCTGAAAAGGGTAATTTAATTGAAGTTATACGTTCTTCAGGGTCCTATAAGCAGCAATAAATATCTTTGGAATAAATAAATGTTGAGGGTCAGTCAGGATGGCACACACTATAATCACCACACTCAGAAAGCAGAGGCAGGTGGATCCCTGAGTTCAAGACCAGCCCAGCTATATGGCGAGTTCCAGAACAGCCAGGGCTACATAGTGACACTATCTCAAAGATAGATAGATAGATGGATAGATAGATAGATAAATATATATAAACAGACAGACAGACAGACAGATAAATGTTAAAAGTAAGGGTTGTTGAAGATAAATGTCCGAATACTCAACAGATAGTTGCTGAGTACAGACACATCCACTTTAGTTCCAAGCTTCAGGCCTGCTGCTGAGTCACTATGTAATCAGAACTGCTAATACTTTTATGGTTCCCTACCAATACATAAGAGTGCTGTAGTCTATGACTGATGACATTTACATATTATGATTTATGATTCCATCTCACAATCTGTCCCATTTTCTTATTACCAATCTCATTTTTCTCTGAAAAATCTAAACTGGCATGACAGACTTTTAAAAGTTGAATGTTTATGATTGTATTGATTTCTTAAATAAAACCTCAAAAACTAATTTTCTTGTGGATCTGAATGTGAATTATAGTTAAGTTTTCCTAATAATGGTAAGGTTTAGTTATAATTTTTATTTGGATGATTCTTCTAGAAAACTTTCAGGAAAAAAATTCACAAACACAATAATTACAGAATAAACTTGAAATATCCAGTACGAACACATGGATTCATATGTATGTATGAATATGTATGTATGAAACAGTATGAATTACGTGGATTTTGTTTGGTGTCTTATTCAAGGTGGCAGGGATTTCACTGTATGCAGCCGCACCCTCCACCAAAATCCACATGTGCTGTGGATAACTCTGGGAAGTAGCTTCCTAAAAGTAAAATGAAATAATGGTCTTGCACTTTGTCATTTTAACATATGATAGATTGTTCTTCCCTATTAGTGTAATTTTTATTTTACTTCCAGTTATTGTGATATAAGATGCATGCATGTGTGCACGTGTCATGGTGTGTGTGTGCAGAGGTCAGAGGACAGCTCTGTGGAGTCACTGCTCTCCATCCACTTTTACATGGGTTTGATAATCAAATGTAGGCTATTGGGTGCTGAGCAACCTCACAGGCCCTGGTATAACTACTGTTTTTAATCAGTCTTGGAAAAAAGCAAAACAAGACCACCCAAACTAGACAGAGGTAGAAGAGCAAAGAAAATGCCAGAGTGCATAATACATGCTTAAATAATTACTGTTATTCTTTGTCTTAGCCCCAACTCCCATTGCCATTTTCTGGAAACCTCATGCCCACCAAGGAAGCAAGTAGGCAATCAATCTTCAGACCTCTATTCTCTCTCCTCTCCTCCAAATCAAATTCCCCAGTCTTTTTTTCCACAGTTGTTTTTCTATTTTTTTTTTTATTTATTTACGGTCACAACATTATTTACATTTTATGTATTGGAATTTGGCTGCATATGTATTTGTATGAAGGTATCAGAACTCCTGGAACTGGAGTTACAGGCAGTTGTGAGCCGCCATGTGGATGTCGGGAATTGAACCTGGGGCCTCTGGAAAAGCAGCCAGTGCTTTTAACCTCTGAGCCATCTCTCCAGCCCCTAAATTCCCCAGTCTTATCTCCAGCTCTGTTGTGGCCTTTTCTGCCTCACTGCTCCTATTCCCAGAGGACTAAGCAGATCCAGGTGGCACACTCTGCAACCCTAGCTCAGAAGGCCCTGAGAAATGCAATGTAGCTGAAACACAAGAAAAGAACTTCAAGATAGTCTTTCTGAATATGTTACACTTCCTTAGAGAGGAAATGAATATATCCATTAAAGCAATCTATAAAAGCACATCAAGTAGTGGAAGGAAATGAAAACAGTTTAAGACATGAAAGTGGAAATATAGAAAAGCCAAACTGAGGGATAACTGGAACTTGAACAGAAATCTTAGAAGCAAGCCTCAACAACAGAATATGAAAGAAGGCACTGAAGACAAGATAGAAGAAATTGCATACCTTGGTTTGGTCAAAGAAAATGGTTAAATCTAAAAAAAAAAAAAAAAAAAAAAAAAAAAAAAAAAAAAAAAAGCCAAATTCAAACCATCCAGGTAATCTGGGATGCTATGAATAGACCAAATCTACAAATAAGGGAAAAAGAGGAGAAGAAACCCAGGTCAAAGGCACTGAAAAGCATTTTCAACAAAATTATACAAGAGAATTTCCCCAAGTTAAAGGAAGTGTTCATCAAGGTACAGAATGCATAAAGAACACCAAATAAAGTGGACCAGAAAATAAATTCCTAATGTCACATAATAATCAAAACATTGAATGTACAGAACAAAGAAAGAATATTAAAAACTACAAGAGGAAAAGACCAAGTAACATATAGAGCAGACATATAAGAAGAACACCTGACTTTTCAATAGAGACTCTAAAAGCCAGAAGGGCCTAGTCAGATGTTGTAAAACTTCAAGAGACCACAGATGCCAACACAAACAACTATACCCATCAAGACTTTTCAACTACAACAGATGGAGAAAGAAAGAAATCCCATGATAAAACCAAACTTAAGCAATATCTATCTATTAATTCAGTACAGCAGAAGGCTCTAGAAGGAAAACTACAACCTGAAGAGGCTAGCCACATTCAAGAAAACACAAAGAATAAATAAATCAAACCAGGAAAATCAAAAGAATGGCATGAAAACCCCAAAACACAACACAAAATAATGGGAACCAACAAACATGGCTTACTGATAACACTCAACATCAATGGTCTCAATTTCCCAGTAAAACAACACACAGTAACAGTACAGATTAAAAAACAGGATCCACCATTAAGGTGCGTCTAAGAAACACATCTTAATATCAAGGATAGACATCACCTCAGGGTGAAAGGATAGAAAAAGTATTTCATTTGAGGCCATTTCAAATGGGCCTAAGAAGCAAGACAGTAGTCATTTTAATATCTGACAAAACAGACTTCAGAACAAAACTAATCAGATAAGAGAGGGAAGGACACTACGTCAAAGGAAAAATCCACTAAGAAGATAAGGCAGTTTAAACATCTATGCACCAAATACAAAGGCACCCAAGTTCATAAAAGAAACACTACTATAGCTTAAATCACACACTAACCCTCACACAGTGATTGTGGAAGACAGGTCATCCAAACAAAAACTAAGCAGAATCGCTGGAGCTAGCTGAGTCATAAACTCAATGGACTAGCAGGTATTTCCCAAACACAAAAGATAGTATATCTTACACCAGTCAGAATGGCCATGATCAGTAAAACAAATGACTGTTCATGCTTGGGAGGATGTGGAGTAAGGGAAACACCCATTGCTGGTGGAGTGCAAACCTGTACAGCCACTATGGAAATCAGTGTGGTGGTTCTTCAGGAAGGTAGAAATCAATCTAATTCAAGATCATGCTGTGTAATTCTTGGGTACATACCCAAAGGGACACTTCATCCTACTACAGACACACTACTTAACCACATTCATTGCTGTTCAAACAGCCAAATGCCCCTCAACAAAAGAATGTGGTACATTTACACAATAGAGTATTACCCAGCCATTAAGAAAATACAGTCATGCATGGCTGGGCATTGGCGGCACACGCCTTTAATCCCAGCACTCGGGAGGCAGAGGCAGGCAGATCTCTGTGAGTTCAAGGTCAGCCTGGTCTCCAGAGAAAGTGCCAGGATAGGCTCCAAAGCCACAGAGAAACCCTGCCTTGAAAAACCAAAATAAATAAATAAATAAAATGAAAAAATACAATCATGAAATTTGCAGGTAAATGGATGGAACTAGAAAAAAAAAATCATACTGAATGAGGTAATACAGACCTAGAAAGAAAAACATAGTATTCCTTTACATATGGATGTTAGCTATTAATTCATTGATAAGCAAGCTATGATCTATATAACCACAGAGGTTAGGTATGGAGTAAGGGACTGGGAGGAGAGACACATCTCCCTAGGCAGGATAGTTATGGACTCTTAAGAACAGAACAGTTATGGATGGATGAGGGGTGGGAGATTGGAATGGGGAACAGGAGGGAATTCAGCGAGGGATTTCTAAAACTAAGGGCCATTTGAAGGGTCATATGGAAACCTAATACCATAGAAACTTACTAAAACACACATATATGAAGGAGATCTAAATGAAATCACCAAACAACAGGGGAGACAAAACTCCAATTGGACATCTTTCATCATCAAAGAAAGCTTCTGAGACCAGGAATGGGTTACATATCTAATCAAGTTGTTGGTCAATGGGGTTCCATGAGAACCCCCAAACAAGTCAGGCTAGCACCAAGGTTATTGGTGGCTCTTCACAAAATGATAGGAAGGACTTTATTACTGAAGACAACACCTACATAACTCACTGCGCCTTATCTCCTGTGGATCAGTGTTCATGGTACTGGAAGGCACTCTGTATGCTATCAAAGAAGAAAGGTAAACACCAACCCACCTACAAACCCTTTATCTACAATGGTGACCTGCCTACAAGATACACTGGTGCAACAGTGGCACATAGCTTGTGGGAGTAATAAACAACCAATATCTGATTTAATTTAAGGCCTACTCCATGAGTTGGAACCTATACCCGATGCTGTTTAGTGGCCAAGAACCTGAGAGTAGATAGGCCAGGTACCTAGGGGAAAACCAAATACTATTGTTCAGCTAAAGGGATATAGCATTATAATGATGCCTAATGACATTCTGCTATATTCATGGATCAGTGCCTTGCTGAGCCATCTCAGAGAAAGCTTCCTCCTGCAGCAGATAAGAAAAAAGAGAGACCCACAGACAATATGTAGAGAGCAAGACACCTTGACATACTCAATGGGATATTAAATATTAAATATTATATCCCTCCCTTTAGGGGTCAGTGAACCCTATGGAAGAGGAAGTGGAAAATGTGTAAGAGCCAGAGGGAGAACACCAACAAAACAAGGCCTTCTAAACATAGTATGACCAATGTACATATGAACTGAGAGAGACTGGCAGCATGCACAGGGCCTGCAGAGGTCTGCACCAGGGGTCCTAGAGCTGAAAGGTGGAATGGATACATGCCCCCATCCCTAAACCAAAAGCTATCTCTAATTGGTAACCACTTGTAAATGAAAAATTAGTTTTCTCCAAGGGAGTCTCACTGGGAGAAACAATCCACTCTTAAGGGTAGGTCACATGCCCAGCAGTAGATGGCAACACAAAACAAACTCAATGGCATCTTTGGAGGTTCTTTGTTTCACAATGCTGAGTCAGAGAATTTTTGTCTCAACCTTATGGATCCAATGCTTATATATTATGGATTCTGGTTTTGTGTTTTCCTGGGATTACTGTGTGTGTGAACATGTGTCTCTATTATGTTTCTTGTGATTGTTCTTTGGCTCTGTTTCTTCTTTTGTTTGTTTTGTCCTATTCTGAGGTTTGTTTGTTTTTGGTGTTTTTTACTGTATTATATTTTATTATTGCTCCCAAGATGTTTGTTTTCTAAGCAGATACAGAAAGGGCAAGGATCCTGATGGAAGGGGACCTAGAGAGGAACTAGGAGGACTAGGGGGAGGGAAAACCATAATCAGAATATATTGTATGAAAAGAAGTCTACTTCCAATAAAAGAAAAAAAAATAAGTACTGTTGAATACAGTTCTTGCTCATGAGATGTCAAAATGTGTTTCTCACAACAATATGGACATAACTTTTTACAAGTTACCAACTCAAGACTGTATTCCTAGGGGATGAAGAAAAGGATAAATTAGCTCATCTTGGGAGAATAGCTAATTTATCACCTTGGAAAGCACCAAGGCATTGTATTATTATTATGTCACTATTTTTGGTCTGTTTGTGCTTAACTTCTTTAAAATTATATTTATTTATTTGTGTGTGTGTGTGTGTGTGTGTGTGTGTGTGTGTGTGTGTGTGCGTGCACGAGTGCCCCAGTACATGTAAAGGCTGGAGAGTACCTGTTGTAGGATATTTGACCACACTATGAACCCCCAGATTGCATTATTTACTGGAAAAACCTGTTTCTAGCTGTGGTGTGGTTCAGTCCTAGCACACACCTTTAATCCAAGAGCTTTCAGCTTGAGTATCGTCAACAGGGTTAAATAAAGTCAACCAGAGGTCAAGAGGTGGAGCAAGCAACCAGTTGACAGGAAGTGAACATAGGATTATTAAACCAGAGAGTAGGAAGGAATCAGGACAGCTAGAGACACACACAGGAAATAGGAGGGAGGAACATGCAGTTTCAGGAGGCTGGTTTGAGAAGTAGGAATAGAGGGAGGTTTCTGGGATGTCAGCAGAAGAGGAAGATCACCTGGGTGTTTGCCCTGCCTCTTTGGGCTATCAGGCTTTAATTCCAGCAGCTGGCTCCCACTCTTTATTGGTAAAACTGAACGATCGAAAGTTTGTTAAAAATAACAGACACCGGATGTTCTACTCATTACTCTCTGTCTTATTCCTTTGAAAAAGGGAACCCTGAACCTGGAGTCAGGCTGGCGGCCAGCAGTCTCTGCTGCAGCCTTGAAGTTACAGCCTCATCCAGCTGTTTCGTGGTTGCTGCAATCTGAACTTAGGTTCTCATACTGATGCTGCAAATATTCTTTCTAACGAGCTGCCTCTCTGGCCCTAATGCTATGCTGAAATGTACATACCACGGTTGCTGGGCAGCTACTGAACTTCTCTTATGGGTTGTTCTGTTTTTCTTTATAGTTTTTGATATGTTACAACTGAATACTTACTAAACCTGATGTATCTTTAATTAAACTTGTTTACTGATTTTCTCTCATAAACGGAAACTTAGAGCTCTACAAAGGGTATTTATTTCAATGAACCATACCATGATTTACTATTTTATGCACAAACTATCACAATGCAGCATTAGCCTCCTCTATTGTCCCCTTGTCAGTCTCTAAAGGTTCTAAACCAACTTAATGTGAACAAAAAATGCTCCTGAAACACTGAGATTTGCTTCTTTTTAAAAACCCAACACTTAAATGTAAGAGTCCAAATCTTCTCAACAAAAATAAGGTAACAAGGCCTCAGTGGTGGACAGAAACCAGAACAGGGAAGGTACTTTTTGTTCCACTGTTTTGACATTGTTATAGGTGTATGTGTTCATTCTAATTTGTTTTCATATCACTATTACAATCTACCCCTTTACTGTTTTATTCCTAATTTTATAGAATGTGCTTTCACTGATAATGAAACTGGCAGAGTACCCTTCCAAGAAATAGTACTTACATCTTGAAACACCGGTTCCCATTGTTCTCTTGGCCCAATTGCATCTGAACGCCCAACAACCAGTCCATCTGAATTTATACCAAGGTATTTTCCATAGCCTGATTTCAGGGCAATTCTATGGTTTAATAAAAAAGATAAATGTTAAAAACTGAGAATAAGAATTTAACTATAAAATAAAGAGTATACTTATGTATTTGTGTGTGTGTATACACATATATATGCATATACATTAAAAAAATCTAGACATGTTTACAGTGGACACTATATATACTCTACCTATAATCTTATATTTTGCTTTCTAATATTATTATACAGTATCTTACATTATGTAGCAATCATTTTCCAAATGCATTACTGTCCTAGCATAGATATATGAAAGTCACCTTTTATGCTATTACACAGTCTTACTGATTTTTCTGTTATACATAAAACTGCTGATTCATCTTTAGAAGAGGAAACCACTGGATTGAAGGTTATCAACTTATGATTTTAAAAACAGGGTCTTTTTTAATAGCCCATGCTGACTCCTACTAGATATTCAAACTTTACAGTTTGTTAACATGTTCTCAAGGAAAGGCTCGAACAACTTAGGTTCTCACCTCAAGAGAGATTTTTATTGAGGAGAAGGGGTGTGCTCTAAGCCAGCAATTCTCACCCTAATGCTGTGACCCTTGAATACAGTTCCTCATTTTGTGGTAACCCCCAACCATAAAAATAGTTTGTTGCTATTTCCTAACTGTAATTTTGCTACTGTTGTTAGCTGTAATAATATGCAGGACAGACGATATGACACCTGTGAAAGGATCGTTCAACCCCCAAGTTGGGAACCACTGCCCTAAGCTATGCACCTAGCTAAAAAAGTTACTTTAATCCTTTACTTTGAAGAAGTATACCCTGGACATGGCATGTATGTTTAGTTCTAGCACCGAGGAGACAAAAGTAGGTGAATCTCTGTGAGTCAGAGGCCACCTTGATCTCCATAACAAGTTCTACTGATGTCATCAGCATTATGAATGCTTTGCACATATACCACCATCAAGTAACCACTCACTGCATATGGAGAGTGTTGCAAATACTTTCCTCATTTTTATTGCTCATAATATTTTTGTCTGTAACTATAAAAAGTTTACTGACTGACATTTGTTCCTTTGCTTTACTCCTAAGTCTTTCAAAGAAATATAAAAGCCATTATTTAAATGTGATTTAAAAAAATAACAATTTCTGATTTTTATTTGACAACCAATTTCCAGGGATGCTGAACTGACTTGATACTCAGTTGGGGGTTGATGATAATATAAATCATTATTATATTGCTGTAATTACTACTAAAACACCCACACTCAATTTCTCTACTACGCAAAAGTATCATTCTGCACTTTTGCACTGTAAGAACAAAAATGGTCAATTTTTTTTGTGTGATCATGGAACACTTTGTTAGTTTCAGCAATATTCTTTTCTTTTGCCTTTTTATTTCTTGACTTTTTCTGAGATAGGTTGTCACTACATACCTTAGCTGGCCTGAACTTGTAATCTCCTTTCTGAGCCTCCCAAATGTTGGAATGACAAATGTCTGCCACCATGCCTAATTTCTCTTCTGATGGCAAATCCATATATTATAGTAGCACTGGCAGATCTTATTTCATGTTTATTTTCTTCTCATGCTGTTTAGGATCTTTTTAATTTGGTCTCTTGACATTAATTTTCATTGTTATGCTCTTATTTTTTTCTAGACAAGTGATATATATTGGGATTATCTACATGAGTAGTACAGGTTAAGTAACCCTAATCCCCAAACCTCCAAAATCCCAAATTCCTGAGCACAGACATGAGGCCACATGTGGATAATGCCACAGATGGCTGCATGTGATTATTCACAATCACACTCAGGACAATATGTATCTGATGTAAATAAAACATTATGTGCCTCTTCACTAATGTACATGTAGACATTCCCCAAACCAGAAATAAAAAAATTCTGAATATAAATAATATGTTTTCTGAACACCAGAAAAATATCATTTTCAAGCCAGGCATGTTGGTGCACACCTTTAATCCCAGCACTCAGGAGGCAGTGGCAGGCATATCTCTTTGAGTTTGAGGCCAGCCTGGTCTACAGATTTGAGTTCTAGAACAGCCAGTACTCTGTAGGGAGATCCTGTCTCAAAAAAACAAAAAACAAAACAAAAAGACAAAACTCTGTTTCAAAATAGTCTTTCAATTAAAACTATTCTCTGATCTTGTATTCAGTAATAGTGTAGATTTTTTTTTGTTTGTTTTTTTAAGTTACGTGAAATTTTTATTTTTTGAGACAGGGTTCCATGTAGTCCAGGCTGGTCCCAAACTCATTATATAGCCAAGAGAGCCTTGAACACCTGCTCCTCCTGATTCTGTTTCCAATGTGCTGGTATGAAAGGCATGCATTAGCATGCATAGTTAACTAAAGTTAAAATTTAAGGCTTTTAAATACAGTTCAACTACAGCTTACCTGGAATCGGACAGTTTCACAGCAGTAAACTGCTCTGGGGGACTGGGGCCCTCATCAACTAGCGGAAACAAAAATGGAGAATAAACAGCATTTGCTAGAAACATATACACAAAGACTGTTATGCTTTAAAAACTAGCTTTTCCTCCCTGAAATTCCAAGTAAGGATATTAAGATAATTGAACACACTGTAATACACACTATCTATACTATCAAGACATTGTTACATGGTAAATTTATGTGTTTTGCAAGACAGTTCGGCATGACTTATTTAGCCACTTTCAATATAATCAGAAAAGATAGTTCTCAATAGCGGGAATGAGGAAGGAAAAATGGGGAGGAGCTCTGTGATGACAGCCTTGCTTTGGAACACGCCTCAGACTCATCCACAAACTTGGCAATGTTTTACTTGGCGGGGCCTCCCCATCAGTGTTTGTCCCCCACACAAACCTTCTCTATGTGGAGCTCCCAGTGTAAAAAGGCCATTGTCCAGTGCATGGATATAGGCTCCTTTATCCATTTCAATGGCAATGGTTCCCGAAATCTCCCCAAAGTTGGAAACAGTCCACCAGATTCCTACAAGATAAAAATCAAGGTTTAACCATTCTATTTCAGCATTACCTAAGGTTTTCTGTTGTTTTTACTATAACTTATTTCTAAAAGCCTGTATTTGACAATTGTAAGAATCAACCCTTCACTGAGTTACTCCTAATCGTACCACCTGCATAACTCCTGTATAATCCTTAGCAGTCAACATTAACAGAATCCCAAACCTTACTCATATTTTAGCAGTTTTGTACAAACTTGTTTGTTTATATGGGTGGATTCCTGTGACTAACATCACAGTGACGATCACTCTAAAACTTGCAGAGATGCAAAAGGGTAGGGCAGGCAGCACTTAAAGTACTTGGAAAGCGGAGGCAGGACGATCTCTGTGAGTTGGAGGCCAGCCTGGTCTACAGAGTGAGTTTCATGACAGCCTGGGATACAGAGAAATCCTCTCTCCAAAAACCAAACCAAACCAAAACCAAACCAAACCAAACCAAACCAACCAACCAACCAACCAAATACACCCCCACAAAACCAAACCAAAAGGGTAAGAGAGCAGTTTCTCTGACTACCACAAGCTAATGTAGGCCCACAGACAGAGGTGCTTTCCAGCCAACAGCCTTTCATTTTCCTCAGAGGATGCCTGAGACCAATGCCAAATCCTACACACACTAATGCTTTCCCCACACAAACATGCTAAAGCTTCATACATGCTAGTCAACTACCCTATCACTGAGCCACACCCAAGTCTACATTTAATAGTACATACTTTTAACATAGAACCTCAATAGTGGATTTCAGAAAAATAATACATTTCTGATGAACTACAAAATTTTCATTCTTTGCCAAAGTAGAGAAAATGATACATTTCTTTTAGAAATCCTCACTGCCTAAAAAGTTATCCACAGTACATTTATGTTTCTTCTTGGGATTCAAGTTGCCTCCACTCAAAGGCATGTTTACACGTTTCATGGATACAGGATCACCCCAGGGCTAAGCTGTCAAAAAAGCAGCAGGTGCCATGGACTGGGCTCACTGAAGCCGGCCATCACCAACCAATCACAGTTTTGTTTTGGTGGTGGTTGGGGGAACCCAACTCACCACCTCCCTTACAGCTTTATGGTGTCAGTGCTGCAGACACTAAAGTGGAATCTGAGATCCTCTGCAACACTTTGTTCTTTCTTAAACAAAACAAGGGACATCAAATTCTACACTTTGATACTTTCAAAAGGTATTGCTGTGCAGTCTCATTTACAGTATGACTGGAGAACATACTTTCTTGGTTTATTTCTATGGACAATTAAAAAACCCATGTATTCTGCAGTTGTCAGTTACTGTTTTCTATGTCAGAACAATTGGCAAGTGGGATACATGTTCAAATCTTTGTTACTCTTTGACCAATTCTACAACTTACTAAGAATTATTTTTAAAATTGTCAATTAAAATCCTTATTTTGGTAGAACACCTATATGAAGATCCTATAGCTAAAATTACACTATATGGGGGACTACTCCAGACTTTTTGCTAAAGATTAGAAACAACAACTATGGTTATTCTCACTATATCTGTTCAACATTTCCAAAGTCCTCGCTGATAAAAGAAATAAAAGACACAAGGAAGAAAGGAAAATTAAAACTATCGTCAAAGAAAACATGACTGAAGATGTTTATATAAATGAAAATAGGATGACAATGAGCGAGTGTTAATACCTCAAAGAATAAGGCTGATACAGAAATATAAATTATATACAATTAATAGATTAAATCTCCCAAATAATCCAGAAACAATACAATACTCTCAGATAATTAAACAGGCTTTATGAAATAAAATGGTAAGTTGACTCGGAAATTAATTTGGATATAAAAAAACTCAGAACAGCTAATTTTGACAAAAGAAATACAAAGTAGAAGGACTCAGTTATTGGACCTGGAAAGTTTATGAAGGGAAAGTAATAAAGGCAAATATATAATAACAGAAAAAATGTGTACATGAAACAGGAGTCAGGAAACTGACCAACAGACAGAAACTATTTTTTAAATAGCCATTTCACATTAAAAGGTAACTACTCAAAAAGAGGCTGGAACTGGTTGTAAATAGGAAAAAAAAAAGCAAATCCAACCTCTGAATCCTACCTAATATTGCACAACCAACTTAGGTGGATGATAAAACCAGGAAGAAAGGAAACCCTAATCTAGAGTGTCTAAAAGGAAAAGTGCAAGTTTTTCATGATGTTGGGATAAGCTAAATAAAGATCTCAAAGGCAGTGACTATGTGAGAAACAATTAACAAGCCTGAAGAAAACTAGTGACCAACTCATCAGAAAAGCATTGTAAAGAAAACAAAAGCACCAGGGTGGGAGAAAGGGCTACTTGCTACCACGGATGTGTAACAGCAAGAACATTTAGGAAATTTTGGCACATTCTAATATTGTTAAATACCTATCCTAAGAATTTGCTAATCAACACTCATACATCTCACTCTTGATCCTGACCCTAATAATAGAATTCTGTTATTTTAGAACTACTTTTTCAAATGATGTGAAGTTTCCCACATAATTTGTGCACCATTGCCTATTTTCTTTAAATCCTTTATTACCTTTGTGTGTGTGTGTGTGTGTGTGTGTGTGTGTGTGTGTGTAAATGCATATGCATGCAGAGGTCAGTGGACAATTTGTGTGAGTCACTGCTCTCCTTCTACCACCTGGGATCCATGGATCTATATCAGGTTGTCAGGCTTGGCCACAAATGTCTTTACCTGTTGTTTTATTTTGTCAAGGTTTGAAATTTTAACTTGCTTAATTTTGACAGACAAGAAATTTGACTTAAAGTATAGGTATACAAAGGACAACCCTCCCCCCCAACATCTGGATATGCATTTGGGAGACTATTTCTATAACATTTATAGAGAAAGCTTGATGCACTATTTTGTTTAGAATTTTCATTCATTTCAGGATATAAAACAATCAGTTTACTAGATTATACTTCCTTTGGGAACAAAAATTGTGGACTTTTCACTAAAATTCATGCACTTCCCAAGAAAAATAACGTGTACTTGGTTAAGCAATACTTTTGTATGATAGGCATTTAAAGTTATAGACCAGGCTTTGGCGACTAAGGAGTTTTTGTTCTACTTAGTAGTTCTGATGGTAAGAACAACAGTGACATCTAGTGAGCTTCTTCTGAAGTGAAGGATCTGACAAGCAGGTCATCAGTTCTAATGAGGACAACTCTTCAAACGGGGGCATCAACCATCAACAGACACTAACTTGTCATTCGATAAAGTGAACCGAAGTGGCTCACCCACAATATCAAGTTGGGTTTCCTCATCTTCTTCACGTTTTCTCTTCTTATCTTTGCTTTTCTTCTTCTTACTAAAGAAAAAAAAAAGATACATATATGAGTTTGGAAATACTGAAATATGTGTTTAAAATGACAAGATGAACACTCAGGAGTTGTTCAAGCTATATATTGATGTATAGATAAATGACTTTTAAAAATTTACTACGAGTGACTATGAACCTTCTATTGCTGACGGATGAAAAATGGTACAGCCTCTGTGCTTGCTAGTGTTCTGGTCAAGTTAACACAAGCTAGAGGCAGAGGGAACTTCCATTGAATAAATGCTCCCACCAGATTTGGCCTGTGGGCAAGCCTGTGGGGGCATTTCCTTGATTGGTGATTGATACAGGTGGGCATAACTCATTGTGTAATAAAGCAGAATGACAAGCCAGAAAGCAGCATTTCTTCATGGCCTCTACATTGGTTCCTGCCTCCAGAACTTTCCCGGATGATGGAATAGATACAAGATGTAAGCTGAAACGAATCCTCTCTCCACTCGCACACCTTTGGTCAGGTTGTGTTATCACACAACCTCTTTGGAAAATATCTCTCAAAAAGCTAAATACTGAGTTACTATAAATAAGTCCTAGGTGACTCTACTCCCATACAGCTCCAAGAAAAATGAAAAAAGTATGTCCACAAAAACCAGACTATTGAGAGCAGTTATCACTAGTGTAAAGTGTTCATTCAATGAAGGAACAAAAGATGCTAACAACATACAAAAGCAAAGCATTTGGCCACAAAACAGAATGAATACTATATTGTACCACACTTCGGATGCTCCTCAAAACTAAGTCAAATAAGCCAGGTATAGTGACATATGTCTTCAACCCCAGCACGTGGGAGGCTGAGGCAGGTGGATCTCTGTGAGTTCCAGGCTAGCCAGGGTTACACAGTGAGACCCTGTCTCAACAACCTAAGTGAAAGAAGCCAAACACAAAAGGTTATATATTGTATAATTCCAACGACATAAATAATCATAGTAAGCAAATCCTTGTAGACAGAAAGCAGGTGACAGAAACCTAGAGGGACAGATGGATATGGTTATTTAATGGTTAAGGGGTTTCCTTTGGAAAATACTTACCAACTAGATAGTGGTGAACTCATAAATATACTAAAAACTACTAGCTATACACTTTAATAAAAAGAAGGAGTTTGTGTTATATGAATTACAGCTTCATAAACGAAAAACAAAAAGGGAGATAGATCTTAGGGGAAAAGTGATTATCCAAAGTGCTTAGAACAAATCCTGAGCTGGGCGATGGTGGCACACGCCTTTAATCTCAGCATTTAGGAGGCAGAGGCAGGCAGATCTCTTGAGTCCGAGGCCAGCCTGGTTTACAGAGCGAGTTCCAGGTCAGCCAGAGCTACAAAGAGAAACCCTGTCTTGAATTCTTTGCATCTTAACTACAAAGTTTTCAGAAGCTAATTCTGTCCTCCCTGCAGCTGCTTCAGCTTCAATCAGGATAAATTCTCGATGGCACACATGTCAGCGGCGTCTCCCTCTCAAGCGGGGGGTGGGATTAAAGAAGGTTCTCAAAGGCACGAAGCTCCCTAACAAGTACCTACTGAAACTGCTTCACCAGTGATCCAGGAAAAAAGTGCTCAACTTTGGCCAAATCTTTCAAAGGAGGGCGGAGGTACGAATGGGCAGGTAGTTTTCTTTAAAGATCGAGCTCGCTGATCATCATCAGCTCGCCCTCACTTGGCTGTTAGGGGTCCGCGTTGGTTGGCTCTTCCAATTCTCCTAACTCGTTGACAGTCTCGAGATACAGGAAACATAAAAAAATATCTGGGCTTTGAAAAAGTGAGCAGATGAACCACCAGTCTTCGTCACTGGTGCGGTCCACATCTGAGCCCACATCCACACCGAGGTCCTAAAGCAAGCAATCATCGGGAGGGGAAGCGCCGAGAAGCGAGGTTCCCGCCCGAGCCCCGCTCACCTCTTGGCCTTCGAACCCTTGAGCACGAGTTTGGTGGACTTTACAAAGGAGTATTCGGCCATGGTTCCGCACTCAGAGGTAGCTGGGTCCGGCGGAGTTCCTGTTGGCCGAGGGGCGGGGGGAGGAAGTGGAGAAGGCCAGCGAGTGGCTCTAACGGCGCGAGTTGAAAGTCACTCACGAACTCTCTGCCTTCTTCATCTCAGCGCCACGAATCTCCTACTTCCTGTTTACTGTGGTGGAGACGCTACGGCG